AGCTAGTAAAGCGTTCTTGGCAGCCAAGGCTTTGCTTGGTTCATTGGCATGTTAGAGGCTACGGCTGATTTATTACATCTCATCAAAGAACATAGAATTCTAGCAAGGTAACTGCAACTTGCAAGATTCACACGTTTTACTGAAAAATTAAAAAATATATATATATATATATTTTAATTTAGTAAGTAAATCATACTACATGTTTTAAGTCGGCATTTATATATGTCTAGCCTATAATAACTGGTACATTAAAAAAAACATTAAATCCTGCCTCGCTAGGCTCCATCTATACGTGCGTAACTAGGCCCAATACCGCAGAGTCACAACCACCACTACACACAGACGCCCACCCAACACAACACACATACAGTACATACCCTGCAGTGTTGCAGATAGAGCCAGCCTAGGCCTAAGCCCTACATGTATTTCGGGATCGATATAAAATAAACTTCATTTTTTGGAAAACTGCTTAAATCTACTTACCAAAACCTATTAACTATAATTTTTTAGTATTTTTATTTAAAAAAAAGAAAAGAAAAAAGAAAGAAAAAGTATTTGTTATGCACCGATTCTGTTCCAAATCTTTGCGGCGAAAACTTGGGGCCCCATCCATTCCCAAGTGATTTCTGATTTCGTTAATTTGTTGAAATTTATTTACTCAACTGACAGCCATCTCATTGAATGAGGTCGGCACTGGATGCAAAAGATCGTAACATGGAGGATAAACACCACGGATCTAGGCCTGCCTTGCCCTGGAGTTGTTATTTTGATAAATAACTTAAATAACAACTCCCTGGCCTTGTTTATGACATTCTATGGCTGAGCGAGCGCCATAGTATATTGGCTTAAGATAAGAAATTTTGTTTCATTGCTCTATGACATCGTGGAAATCACATTTTTCGTGAAATTTTCGGGATATTTAAAAAAATCGGGAGATATTAATAAAAATCGGGAGGGCGGGAGACGGCCTCAAAAATCGGGAGAACCCGCGAATTTTCGAGAGACTTGGGATCTCTGCACCAGGGAGTTGGACACCATGTTTGTACAAAGGTTAATCTGTGTTTAAAGCTTTTGCCTTGTGGAAATAAGTACAGTGGAAACGTAAACCCAGTTTACCTGCGATATTGTACAAACAGAGGGAGATTCAAAATATTTTTGTCCTGGTAGAGAGTGTGAACAAAGTCAATCAATTTGTTTTCTTGCTACTGTATGATCATGCTTGTGATGCTGAACGCAGAGCAAGCTAGAGTTTTCAGCCTTCCTCCATTGCTATCAGACTAGTAGTTTACCTAATTTCAATATGTTTGACCTTCCCATTCCCATATGTGAAAGAACAATTTAAGTGGTTTCCTAAAATCAGCTTTGCTTTCATTTCAGCTTTATGTAAAAGTAAAGTAAAAGTAAAGTAATTCACCGGTCATATGTAGTTGAGCAACTAGGAAATTCTGAATAAGCTCCTTGGGACCCACGGACGTGGTGCATGTCGACTATTTTGTACACAGAACTAACATCTTAAACATCTCAGTGGAACTAACCTAGTTTTACAGGAAGAGTAGCCTGATGGAATACAATCATCAGGACCACAAAATCTCAATGGTTTACAGCAAGCCAAATTTTGTGCAGACATTTCGTAAACCATGACATTTTGAAACAAAATTTACACAAACCTGTACATATACAGTAGAGGTTACGAAATGTCCAAGGCAGAGTTAAAAATGTCAAGTTTTACTGTAAACCCAGTAGTCAGCTCAAGTGCTACTCTCTACACCAGACATACTGTAGAGAAGGCTACATTACAGATAAAAAACATACTTTTCTGAAGTATATGAGCACGTTTAGAATTGTTCACCACAACATCCCTAATTCAGTTTTCTTCAGTAAAACAATTATTTATACAGTAATGCAGATATATCTCAAATTATTGAGGAAAACAAACTTAAGCTGATTTAAAGATCTTTATTAGATTAAATTAAAAAAAAAAATAATAATTGTAAAAAGCCAACGACTATAAGGGTGCATATAAACAGAATTGTATCGTCATTAAAATGGTGTGAAAAAAACATATCCGTCCTAGGCAAGACATACAGTAGCCTACTGTACAGTACTGAAGTTCAGTAAAAATGATGGGAAAATAATAAATGTCTAAAATGTGCAACAACTGCAAGATCTTTGAAACCCGTGTACATTGTGAAATGACACTCGTGAGATAAAATCATTGGACAGAAAAAACTTCTTTCTACATTATATTGCACATACTGTAATAATTTGCAAGCATACTGCAGACAGAAACACAACTCACTTGCTAAAATTGTAT